ATGTCGGAAGAGTTCCATAACCTATGATGAATAACGTCTGCATCGTTCCAAAGAAGTTCAAATTGCTTGCTCTGAAAAAATGTTTGCATCTTTCTTATAAATCACAATTGAAAATACTCCAAAATTCCAGTCGGAAGTGCTCCATATTCAATGATCAAACACCATACTGCCTTTCTTTGTCAATCGAAAATACACCAAAATTCATGTCGGAAGAGCTCCATGACCCATGATGAATAACGTCTGCATCGTTCCAAAGAAGTTCAAATTGCTTGCTCTAAAAAAATGTTTGCACAAGAAAAAAAATTGAAAAGTAAAAAAATTTTTGAGACGAAAAAAAATTTAGCTGGAAAAAAATTGTCACAAAATATAATTTTGACCCTATAAAAAATTTAAAACAAGAAAAAAATTGACCGGAGAAAAAAATTTGGCGGAAAAAAATTTTGATCTGAAAAAAAATTGGACACAAAAAAAATTACAAGAACCCAAAATTGGTCACAAGAAAAAAATCTGGACAAAAAAAATTTTGAAACGAAAAAAAATTTTGTCTGGAAAAACAATTTTGATACAACACTTTGGAACAACCGGCCCCAGCATGTTAACACATTTTTAGAACATTTTCAAAAATTGTCAATTTTGAACAAAATGATAAGGGGAAGTAAAAAATTTTTCAAAAAAATTTGGAGTAAATTGAAAGAAAAACAAAACTGAAAAAATTTATATTTTTTTTTTTTTTGAAATTTTCATAAGGGATTTTAACAGAATTACAGCTGCTCTGGAAGCAAAAGATACAACAACTTTGATATTTTAATATATATACAATTTCTCTAAGATTATAAACGTAATTTAATTTTAATACATTGATGTATATTCTTTCATGATCGATATTAACCACCAATTTTAAAATATTCGGACTTAAATTATTCTAATTCAAAGATATAGTTGGTCATCCTGATAATTTTAACATCAGAAATTTTTTGCTAGTTTGTCAACATGTTATAATGTACGATTTTCTGCATTGCGTTTATAATCATACAAATTTTCTTCATGAATCAAAAAATGCTTATTGATTGCACGTTCCGCCCTAGCTAACCGCTATCTTCTGCTCACTTAAGAACCAGTTCTCGTTTCGATTTTCGAGAATTGTTCAGTTTTGAAACAGCGGAGCGAACGCAATCGTCAATAAATTCAGCCGGGACCAGATGCGTGGAATATGTAAAGTAATTTGATATATTTAAATGTTACATATTAATAATATTTACTTTTGATTGACAGCGGATTAGACTCGCAGCCAATCAATAATAGGATTCTAAAATACATAGCCAAACCCGGCAGGCGGTCTTTCGCCGTCGTGTCCTTGCCCGATTTTAGGGACAGCCTGCCATGTAGACTAGTTTGGGGGTTGTTGCATGGCATGACTGTCATGACGAAATATTTTTCATGTCATGATGATCTATAGAACCCACTCTGTGCGGCGTTTTCAAAGCTGGCAATTTAAATAAGTATATATAATTACCCTCCGGGTAAAACATCCTACGTCTTGTGCTATTATTTATATATTTATTCGCCGGTATGCAAATGTTGAAACTGAATGCAAATGTTGTTTTCATAATAGTGCATTTAAATTGAAGAGGTGGTAGTGAAGCATCAATCTGTTTTTACATTATGACCAAACATTATGACCAGACATGATTTACATAAAAACACGAGTTAAGTTGTTTACTGTGTTTAAACGTGGGACACTAAATTAGAAGAAAAAAGTGATGAGCCAAAGCTTCAGTAACACGAGTCTCGACATGACCTAGGATACAATGATAGAAATGAATTGAAAGTTAAACATATTGCAGAAAATTTATCATGAAAATTTCTTTAATCAGATGACGGCTTTTCTTCTCATTTTGACAAGACTAAAGTTTCGTGGGAATTCTTCTTAGAGCGTGGGTTGACGTGATATCTGTGAGTATGTGAATTAGTGAATTAAGCTAGTACGTGCGTAATTGCAGGTGAAACGTAGGCTCAGCACTTGAAAGTAATTCACATAACATCCTTTCCTGAAAATATTTGTTGAATGAAAAAAGAGATCGAGATCAGTTGTCTTATTAGTGAAATGTAAAGAGGAAAGAGAGGTGTATCCTTATTATTGTATTAGACTGCATGGAAGTGATTCGAAAAATCTTTTTATCATAAGGCATCCAGCTTGAGGTATCGCAATATAGTCGCTTATCGCGTTTTCTGGGCAATTAAATATCTCAAAATGTTGCATTCAGGAATTCATTTGTGCCCACATAATTACGCATATTCCAAGTGATGAGCCATTTCCTGCAGATCAGATTTTGATCTCAATTTAAAAACAACTGTATTGTGTATTGTTTTTGTACACAAATTATGTGCTCTTTTGTTCTGGTTTCCTTTTTGTATAATATGAACAATTCCTTCCTACTGTCTTACACTCCCCCAATTCAGTTTTAGCACGAAAAATGGAGAAAAATTGGGTAGTTTGAATTGCTCCATGGTGAATTATTAATAGTATTGATATATAAGACATTGACACTATATAACAGTGCTATTGATTTCCTTTTTCCGTACTTTGTTATATATGATTGAGACGTGCGAAAAATGTTAGGTGAGTTAGTGAAATTGAGGTAAAAAAGAGTGTCCGCAAACGCAAGGCGTTTTGCCAAATCGATCATCACGGGATTTAGGAAATTAAGATTAAACATTTTCTTCTTTAATGTTTTCCTATATCGTAAAAATCTTGCGTGCCTGACGTTTCCTGTTCAATATATGAAATTCAAGCTTAAACTCCTTATAATCGCTATCATCCATCTCGGCATCCATCATCAAAACCACGACTTCTTACTGCTCAGCAACTCATAGATAAATGACCATCACGCCCCCTTGGCATCGTAGAATTTACTAGCGGCGATTTATGGATTGGAAACGTATTTATATATGCACTTGGTATATTCTACTGGTCTTTATCAACTGTATTTAAGGATAGACTCTCCTGGATATTCACAACAACACGCTCTATGCATAATATATAGACCTTATAATGCCTTTGCCTTGTCGCGTTTTTGGCCTTTATATGTATACGTATATGCGGTATTAAAAATGCATACTAGAAAATGTGGGATGAAACACTTCAACAAAACAATCTAGCAAGATATAGATGTTTGGTAACTTTGTGTCATTCTAGCTATTAGCTACATATACTAGTTTGAAATTGCATGCTGCATGGGAATTTAAAAAAAATTCAAGTCATGATGAATGTTCATGAGATTATATAGTCCCGACATTCAAAAAAAAAACTTTGCAGGACTAAATTATCAGGCTGGTTAAGGTCGCTAAGCTCTTATATAGCGATGCTATATGCATGCATGTGTTCTACTTTAGATGAGATTCAAACTGGCAACACGCATCTTAAATCTGCAAGACTGTCAATAGTTAAACAAAAGCCTACGTCACTAGACAAGCTGTCGCTAATTCACTGCTGTTTTTTTACAACAATTTTAACAATGGCAGGCTGGCCTGTGTTATCGTGAGTAATAGGTTCTAATTGTTCCAACCTGTTAGTAAACAAGTTAGACAATTTAAAAAAGCGAAGTAAAATTTCCCCTAAGGTGAGGGGAGCCAGATAAGTAGTGAATAGTGATTAGTCTGGCTTGTAGCGTGTTCAATTCTTAGCGTGGATGTGAACACGCTTAATTCCGGCTTATAGCACTTAAAACCAGTAAATATCCGCATTTTTTCTTTCGGGTCGGGACTTTCTTTTCCTTTACCTTAAACATTGTCGTAAACATAGTAAACGTATTTACTCTTAGTAAATCTCGTCGTTTCGAGTTTCAATTCGATTGGCTGAATTGGCCTTCCGCCCAATAAAGCTGCGTAGCCGTAGGTGATTTCAGCGTAAAAAATGTCGCAATTCATGAAGTTACAAACCATGGAATCCTTCCAAAATTTTCCGTCCACGTACGTCCATGATCATGCAAGTTCAGTTCAATGATAAAATAATGCAATGCAAGGTACGTTCGCAAACTGCGTTATTTACCATGTCTCTTCCTTCTGTGGGTAGGTAAGGTTGGAAAATACTCTATTATATCTTTTTTTCAACCGGGCTCGAATATTCACTGAGAAAAGTAACGCGTCACGTGGTTTACCAGGGGTTTATGGCACAAGGCACGCTTCTCACAGGCAATTCACACTCAATATATATTTATTAAATTTAATTGTAATAGTCGGTATTTCCTTAAAGCATGCAGGAAATCGCGAAGCTGCTGACATTTTGTACACACTAGCGAGAAAAAAATTCAAAGGCAACTTTTGGAAACATGTTAAACAACAACAGATATTTGGTTCTCTTTGAATTTATTTGCAGTATTATAGTGAGTTCTTTCTTCAGATTTAATGCACTTTGATAAAACGATCATAACATGCATGCATGGCATTACATCGCGGACAACAGTACCGCGCGTTTGGGGTAAAAAGAAGTAAACAACCTACAATTACTGTGCACTGCATCGAGGCCATCGGCGTCTCCATTTTCTTAAGTTAGGAGCCTCACTATTATTTACAGCGGATAAAATAAAGTGTGAGAAAAATATGTGAAGGTCAAATAGTATTGTACGAGTATTGTAATAATTGTTAACTATAGAACTTCCTAAAATGGTTGTATATCAGTATGGAGTGGAAAATGCGACAAGAAAATGGAAATATTTCGACGTGCATGGTTATAATATAAACGCAATATTAGTCCAGGCCTGGCGGTTTATTTATTTATACCTTTGATCAGTTGAATATATAACTTTAGCTGTGCATGGGTCAGAATATATAGTATTTATACTGGGAGGTTTCAAACACGCCTTTGTAAGTTAATTCATAGTTTCTGTTTATTCAACAGATTTAATTTTGTGACTCACAAGAAAATATACATTACAAAATTTTGAAATATATTTACAAAAGGTTTTTCAAATATATTAAATTAACTAAATAATATACTCTTGCCTGCTGTTGCATGTGATTTTCTACTACCATATAATATTTTCAGCACTATTTTCACTAGTGAAGTCAATGAACAAGTCACAACAGTTTCAATAACTTTTTTATTTTACGCTTGATCTTTTTTATATTCTGTTTCTTCGAATGCTTTTTCGTGGTCTTGCACATTGTTGAACATTGCTTATAGGTTTTCTGGCATGCCTCGCATTGTGCTAACTGTGTGCAGACCTTGAGGCAAGCTAACGAATCCGTTTGACAGCGTAACTTTTTTTGTTGACAGCTCGTACTTGCTGGCGAGGCAACGGTGACGAGGATAAGAATAAGAAAGAAAGTCGTCTGTACGTGAATTTTCTTCATTCTATAAAGTCAAACGGATATAGATCAGTTTTGTATTATGTAACACAATAAAATCCAAAGAATATTACCGAAGGATTCAGTTTTCTTAGTTATGGTTTCAGAAATCAGCTTACATATAGTATATACGCTTTAGCCGCAGGTATATTTGCATGTCCTGCATTTGTAAAATAACTTCATGCAACTGCATGCATGAGCTCACTTCTCCGTTTTTGCGCCAATGCGTATATAACAAAACAAGTTTAAAATGTTTAACTCTTTAATTTCTTGGGATTTGATTTAGAAGTCATTACCTTTGATTAAAATAAAGAGGTTTTAGACGTCTTAACCAAAAAATTCAATGAAGGTCGTCTTCCAAAACGATCTTAAACTTTAAACGCTCGAGGGATGAAGTATACTTATTAATTTCGCTACAGTCAGAGAATATATTTGCTCATAAGGTAATTTTCTTAGCTACTTGAATATAGCAAAATATACGTTACAACTTACTATCCCTGTCGCGCTTAAAGTTGACAAAGGTTAACAGGTTTACAGTTTTACAACTTTTAAAGGTTAATAGCTATATATACTAGCATGCATAATGTGGTGACTATATAACCCACATATATGATTTTTGGCGCTTATAGAGCCTAAATGATAACACTATATTTCCCTATTGGCTTGTATTGCATATGTTACAGCGCAAAAGAATTCCTGAAAGATCGGCGTCGCCTTGCAGTTACTTACAACCCACGCTAAAATTATCACTCATACGAGAAACTATGTCGCAATGAAACGAGACAATTTAGTTGATATTGATATTTACATGTATTCACACAACATAAATTTAAAAGTTACACATGCACTTGTAGCTATGAAACATAAAGAGCGGTACTATGAAGCAAGTCAATAGTAATTATGAAATCTTGTTAGATCACCTGAACATATTTGCAATCAGGAATTAATTGTTCTTAAGTTATTGGCATGCAAACCAAGTATAAGTCGCGAGGGATATAAAAAATGACCCAAGTTACGATTACTTACATTAAAATGTTTACTGTCCGATTTCTTCCAGTCTGTTATGTGCAACTTTTTGATCCTTGAAGGATGACTCAAGCACAACTATCTTCTGGCGAATGGCTTGATCTGTAGTAAATTGTCCTTTTATCTTTTCACCATAGTGCGAATAAATTGCCACATCCGGAATGCAGCAGGGAGTGTATGACACCCACATAGCGACACTAACAATATCGAATATTTTACTTTGTATCTCAAGTAATACTTACTGCACTTGACTTTTCAGGCCTGTTTGTAATAAATAGAATTATTTTTTATCAGGTTTATAAGTTGGAACATATAATTCAAAAAATCATATCTCATAATCTTTAACACTTATGTTTGACCTGAGTGGTTGACGATATACAGTCCCGAAGATAGTATAGATAAAAAATTCTGTTTTTGTATTGCTTCGCAGACAAGATCTCATTTCACGTCATTATCGTATTCGTTGTCTATCATATAATCATAACCCTTCTTTACTAAATGATGATAGCTACAAAGCTATACAGTAATTACTATGAGGCACGATAACTATCTTTGTTGTTGTTGGTTATTTGAATAATGGTCGCGGAAAGGGAAATTGGAAATCTTTCAAAATGTAAACTAGATGGCGTGGCGATAACGACATAAATTGTATTGACATCGTGCTCGTGGACAAGATAGTATTACTGTGGTAGCAAGAAAGAATTTTGCCGCAAGGCTGGTCCCATTATTAAAGTGTTAGACTTTTAAAACCTTCTAAATGAAACATTTCCTGTTCTATGTGAAATAATGGATTTTAGACAAAATTTTAGACAAAAGACAAAGGTGGTTATATGATAATTAACCGTTACTTGCGATCCTTCAGCTTTGCATAAAGGCTTTACAGAAAAAATTGCAGTGTTTGGCGAAATGTGATACATTGAGTTTCCGCCAATTATATAAGTTTCAATTTTTATACATCTGAAGCAAGCCATTGTTACACTGGCAATGCAAAGTAATCCGGATATCACTTGTACCAACTACCAAAGGCAGAAGCATCCGTTATATATGAACTTATGGAAAATATTATAGACATGCATGCAGAACATATAATACGTCATACATTAATATTGGTCGGCTGCATTCTTTTTATTTTCTTTGTCTTTGATTTTGTCTGCCAAATAATTGAATCTATAGTGCCGCAGTGTTGTAGTGAGTAGAGTCTAGAGATCTTTTCTGATGAGGAATTCTAACCAAATTATAAGATATGAACGCCGAAAGGACGAAGAAGTAAGTAAAAGAAAAAACTGGTAAAACTCATATAACTTATTATAAGACAGTATAATATAGATGACTAACAATATTTAATAACAGGAAGGTGTCTAAAACAAGAACGCGTGTAAACAACGGATGTCCATAAGTGGTCAACGGATTTCTCGTTATAGATAAGGAACAGTAGCTTCTATAATCAAAAACACTGTTTGGTTTGAACATATGGAGAGAATATCAATACCATTAGGCTAATAACCGTCTTTACTCAAATACTCAAAACATATTCCCACGCTTATCCAAAAACTACTTACATCATGCGACAATTTTACACTTTACTGAATGCCACTTCATACTAAGAAAGTTGGTTTCAACCATTGTTTCATACAAAGCAAAAAGATTAGAGTCTAAGAGGGATTTCAGATGGACGCAAAGCTACATTCCATGCATGCATGGCATCCCTTCTTGTATTATACTTATAGTGATTTAAATGAAATGATGTTTGAACAAAAAATGCGTTTACTGGTTTTGTATATGCGGTGACACCGAACGGAAAGGAGGATTAATACGATTATATGAATACTATGCTTAGTGTTCTAAAAATTTTAAATATTTTGTAATGAGTTAAGACCATTTGTTCCGTTACATTGTGAGCGACCCAACATGATAGCTCAGCACGTTTGATTGTGAGACACGAGACATGTTCAAACTATAAAACACTGACAACACTCAAACAATCTATCGTACGGCGGGGCGCTAAATAGTTGATATCAAAGAATGATCCTGATGAATGACCCGCTAGTTACGACAGATCTTCTCATGGTACAAAGTATTTAAATTATTTTTAGAGTTTGATAATTTTTGCAGTAGTTCATTCAACTACACGTCTTAAAACTACCGTAAAACACATTATAAGATAATGAGATGTTTCTCTGCATGTCATGTATAGAGAAATTACTGATCACGACTGTATTGATCAGGCGGATAAAACTATTTCTGTACAGGAAAAAAGGCCGCATGGGATCTACCAACTTTTCTAGAATATTTTGATGGATAAGATTTCTATCAATTGCTGTGTTTGACATCTAAATGATCAATTTCAATCAACTGTTTAGTTACTTCAGTAACAGCATTATAAAGACGTACTGTGTTCATCGACCCAGTAAATTAATATTATACCGGCCGCAAAATTTCGAAACGGCAGAATTGCGAGATCAGTTTGAAAGAAAATCAATATTCTTTATAGATACAGTAAAATTAAATATAAACAAATATCAGTGCAAAATAAAATGAACATGGGCAGTGGCAATGGCGCGGATTCATTGAAATTATTGAAATCTAAACTATATATTCATTATTCGAACAAACTGATCAATACCTTCGATGTAGACCGCCCTAGAACTTGGAAAACATGGTGTAGTAAGTGTATGTCGTTCTTTAATAAGAGTCAAACTGTTGTTCGTGAATGCATTTCCTATATAACTTTGTTTGTAACTTTCTATCTATATGTTAATAACGTAATAACTATAGTAAATATGTAATAATGACAATGTAATTTTCGGTGGGACTTAAATAGGAACTAACGTTCTGTTGCCCTTACCATCAATCATAAGATTGTTAAGTTAATAAAAATAAAATTTAGGGTAAGTCACTGAGAATAATTTACACTGCCTAATTTCAAATTCTAAATACCTTAAATAACACTACTTGTTATATTCACGAAATTTTTGCACAACTGAATTGACACAAGAACTGCATTTGTTCGCTTATCTTTGTAAGAAACTTTCAGAAAACGGCTAGCCGCCATTTTGAAATTTGATATATATTGAACATCAAAAAAATCATATACTGAACGATATATTTGGTGTGACCTTGGTACATACAGAACTGCTTATAAATATATATATATTTGAGTGTACCTATATATAGTTACATGATATTTCTATGAACACAATTTACCTATGAGCACAATTCAATTTTTGGTCAAATTTAAGCATGTATGACATACATGGGGAAATACATACACGCGCGCTAAGAAACATTGCCGCATACCATAATTTATAGATTTTATACAAATCACTCCCGGACCCACTCAAACAACTTATAAACCAGGCCATAGCGTAATGTGTATTCGATAACTTCCAGAAGATGCCGGTGGTTCCTAGCTGCTCTACACGTTTCTCCCAGTTATTTGTGGGATTTTTGAGGATCACACAAACCGAATCATCATAACATAAAAATTTGAAATACTTTTCTAATATCCAAATATTAGGCTACTTCGACCTATATGGGTGTTAGGTCGAGTGATATTGTTTGATAGTGTGAGACTCATGGGCCCTCGGCAAAATTTAAGAATAGCATTAATACCAGCAACAACTTGACCTTGTCATGCAGGATTCGATTTGTCGGCCATGCAAACTTCCTGCAGGCACGTGCAGATTTTGAAACATTTTGAAGTGTTTGAATTATTTTCTTTGTTCATGCTAACAGCGGTAACGAAGTCACACCCGAACATATCAATTATCGTGCATCACCTGATGAGAAGGATTTTCCGGCCTTTTATTTGGAAACTGACATTACAGACAGCATAAAGTCAATATTGGCAAGGCTATCTGGCTCAGAAGAGCTTAATTATAAACGGTATTCCGCTTAGAGAGAGAAATTTTTACATTTGAGGAAATCCAAAAATAAACAGGAAGTTTACACCTGTTTTAATTGGTATAAAACGAATCGTTCGTGTAGTGAAATAATGAAAGAGCAAGCGGATTCATAGTCCTATACTTTCAACATCTATTACATAATTTATAGAGACGATGTTCTTTCAACCTATAGAATTTTATATGGTTTTATCAAATAAGTTCACATGCACTTGAGAAACTTCCTGAGATGCCGCACGTTATAAGATAAACAAGACGTTTCAAACTAAGACCGTTATTTTGTAACTTCGCAATGATTATGTCTCATGCCATTATGTCAGGGATATTCACGGATTGCCTCCTTATTAAATAACTCTATATACTTATATACAAGAAAAATATACAAGATCCGTCATCCATCACACGAGTGATGTTTAAATTTTGCCTAAAATTGGACCATGGTCGCCAGACTTTCACCTATTTAATAATTTCACAAGTACTTCCGTTTATATAGCCGCTCTATTTATGAGTTCCTTTATAAGAACGATTTGTATATGAAAAACAATCATGTTATTCAGCACTGACAAAAACGACAGCTAGGAATCCTAACCCATACCACAGGTCTTGAGATAAACATTGAAGAAAACACTCTACCAATTAACATTCATATATATATAATGGGCCTTATTTTATTTCGTCAAATGAAACCTAATACATAATATATATTATATAAAAATTAAATTATATAGTTCACTATCGTAATAAAAGATTTCGTGTTAAATATTGGTTTACATAAAGCTACGTGACTCTTAAATATTGGTTTACATAAAGCTACGTGAGTTTTAACTGCATGGTATACATACAGCTTAAATTGAACTCATAGTTATAGAGGGTGTTTGTGGATGAAAATTAGAACTGAAACTTTTATACGCTTTTACAAGAGAGGATAAATCAATTAAGATTTATATTTAACATTCAAAGTTTGCACTTTATAAGACTTAACATTCATGCAGAAGAAAAAGTGAAAAAGGATAACCTCCACATCACTATGGGTAATGCATGCACGATGCAAGTTTGTGTTTTTTAAACATTACAGAATTAGCACCTTTAACGTATAGTTCATTTGGTTCGTACAGTGTACTAAGAAGTTTGACCACATATAATAATATATACGGAGTATAACTGCTCTTGCATGACTAAGTTTAAAAAAGTATAAAACACTGGACGTTTTAGGACTTAGAAGACAAACTGTTCTTCTTTATCCTTCTAGTATCAATTTCCAGGTAACGTTTGATTTTTCTGCGTTGTGATTGATCAAACTTGGTGAAGCAACTTGGTCGCTTATTCAGTGTTCATTATTATTCATTGTTATTTCTCAGACGGCAAGTCTTTCCTCGAAATGTCGGCATTTTGACGCTCACACGACCAATATCTAATCTAATCAAACGACGCCCATGACAACGATATTATTAAATAATGCCTACAAATTCTGTTTTTAAACAAACACCCTCTAAATATACTTTAGCGGAAAAGTTACGGAATTGTAAACCTTGATGCAGATTTAATATCGTAAGCAAATGCAGATTTAATATCGTAATATTGCAAGCGGAAATAAGAACGCGAGACTATTATCTGACATTTAACAATCTCAGAAATTCGTATTCTGCATGCGGTCAGATACATGCATGCAGCATATCTATATTACATAGAACAATTTATGGCATGTTCCTAGTGAAAACATGCGTTAGGATAGTCCGGATAGGGATCTTGTTTAGGGTAATTTTCGGAGATTTTATTGCATTTCTGGTTCGCCCAGTCAGTAAAGTAAGCATACCATTTATAAAGCTAAGACATTATGGCACGTCTACATGCAGTACCTAAAGCTGGTAACCAGGCCTTGCGCGCTCTTGTGCGTAAATTACTTTGCCAATATACATTTTTCAACAAACTCGTATTAAATAGCTCAAATTTTCTTCATATTATATGAAAAAAAACAAAAACAGGCATTCAACAGAAAAATTGAAAAAAGCCTATATCTATATCTTAATTGATCAAATTATTCCAATCACGCGTGGAATATCGCGCTAAAGTTAAAGGTTACCTTTTCTGTACAACCTATAGTCCAGAATATACTGTATATTTAAATTTTCACGATTTAAAAGCACTCTAAATACATTCTTGGAAAAGTAGTATTTGTTTAATATTTTCTATTAGTATAATGATGACTATATATTTCAGTTATAGGAATTAATCGCAAGCCTACAAAAACGGAAAACAAACAAACTTTGATAGATGCATGTGTATTGCTAGTATGTCAAGTGTATATATATTATAATCATGCATGTTTAGTGTATATATATATATATTATAATCATGCAAGTTTTTTTGTTGTAAAGATACTAAAAAATAAGCTAAGAGCTTTACTTACAATTAATAATCTTCACGCAGATTTGTTTGGCTTTAGTAACCGTTCTGTTCCTTCATATGCTAAGAATAAAGCTGCATTCGCTGGGAAACATCGTACAATAGCCGGGCCAAGACCTTTATATAATGCTCGAATACCTTAAATTTTAGACAAATGAAATACTGTAACAACGAAGCCACTGAAATAACAATATAAAAATACTAAGACTGCTACACTGTAAAAACCAATTGGTTCTGTTATTATACAGTTCCGACTGTTGTGAAAGTGCTGCCAGAATATAGCGGTCTTCTGTTTAACGCGAACAAAAGTAGTTAAGCTGGTGTACACTTCTGCACTCTTAGAATACTCACCTTCCTTTTTAAAAATAGAGTAGGTTAGACTCAAAAATCCTTTTGGATAACCACTGTCATTGCTACCAGTCTAAAATTATGACCAAATTACTGACAAAAAAATTACCAACAAAATAATACATAGACTAAAATACGTAACAATCAGATTACAAGCTTGCGATTTTTGAGGACCGGCTAATTACATGCGGCAGGAAAAACAAAAACACAAAATCATCTCTCTGCTAATCAAGTTTATGACATGGACAGCCACCAAGGTAATGCGCATGTGGAGAAAAAATCGGTAAATATAGCAACCATATATATATATATATATATATATATAATTATATATATATATATATATATATAATGACTCAAGACGAGAAATTTATTCTTTTTTAAAATGGGGAGAAAAATTCCAAAGTATTAATGAAAGCAGTCAAACACAACACCGACCTGAACTCTAGATTTTACGACGTCTGTAGGAAAAACAGACGCCCAGAAACATGCTCCTGCGATTCCTCCTGATATAGCAACTTCTAGAGGACCTTGATGGAACAAAATATAAACAAAGTTAAATATGATAACCGCAAACATTGTTGAAACTACATTTGTTGTGTCGGTTTCTCTGCTCTTAACCACGACCACAGTAATTTCCCGCACAATGCAAACTATAACGTTCATAGTATTAGAAAAAAAGACAAAATGCATATCAATATTACAGCAAGTTTTAAAATGTTCAGCAAGTTCGACAGTTCGAATAGTTTCACTTGAATGTCAAGTACCGTACGTATTTCATCGACCTCATGTAATACAAGGTAAGGGATGTCTTATTACAATATACGAGGAAGATAGTGTAGATGCATGCCGTAGTTGTTTAATGATTATACAAGAGATGGACCAATAGAGAGGGGGATTAAAACATTTCTTCAAACTGAGAAGGGCTTATTAGAAAGGGGGGAAATTTGAGGGGGGCGACATCTTAAAAACGTTTTCTTCAATTCAGGAACAATTAGTCCACGCAAGGCGGACAATTAGTCCACAACAAACACTTTTACTCACCTGTGGCATCACGAATGCATGGAGGTAAAATAATTTTACCAAAGTGTTATCGCCGTTTTAAAGACAATTTGTTTGTCATAAATATTCATAAACTAAAATTTAAGAACAATAAAACGTTTTATACCTAAGTCATCAACTGTTTTTCCCTCCGGTGTTAGAAGACGTTTGCTTAATTGATAACCACCAAAAAAGAAGAAATATCCGCCAACTTCTCGCGTACACGTACTCACAAAACCACGATATAAGCCCAGGGGTCCTTCATTTCTAATGATTTGGGCTGTTAGTGCAAGACCACCTCTATATAGATTATTGTTGAAAGAGTTCTGTTTCAGATTTTGCTGCATGTTGATTACAGTAATATATATTAAGAATAAGCTTGCATATTACATTTTATACCAGATTAAATTAAATAGATAAATAGATCCAAATGTCTGTTATCTTTGTTCTGAGTAAATTCTAGGCTATGGTGATCTGTTTGGTTGTGCCCATGAATAATCAATAATAATAAGTGAAGATAAACTGAAGTGAATATACTTTAATTTGTATAATATTATTCTAGCACCATATTATCTCATCTTTATAATCTCTCACTACATTGTAACATTCTTGACAGCTGGTGCTTGTACCACACCCCCAAAAAGGCCAAAATTGATCTGCACCCCCCCCTTCCTTACGGATCTGCCGTAGATAATTCTCTGTTAAGAGCGCCTCTTAGCACTGCAGATCTTCAACCTAATAGGGAAGGTATTCTTTAACATTAGTATGGCTATTCTCTACCAATGCCTAAACCACAATGAAAACTTTTGTGTGTGCTGTACATTGGTATTGTGATTAGCAATGCAATGAAATTTATAAATGTAAAGCCACAAAAAGAACAAAATTGTGTTACTGAGGGAGACATGAATAGGAAATCATTTAGATATATTATCTAGCTGCTATTAAATATCAATGAGATTGCACTATGGCCAAATTGATGTCAATGGCCAATTCATTCTGTGGTATGAATTTTGTGCTTCAGTTCTGCATCTTATTAGGAATGCTAAAATTTCCTAGGGTGCAACCTGTGCGCCATGACACAATGAAATATTAATTAATTGTTTAATTGCTGAATTTTGGATTGCTAAATATAATAAGACTACCTGTTCTAGTCATGCTTATTTAAAGTGTTTTTCTATTGTCATATAAATGTCACAGTATGTCTAAATTCATTACATAGAACAAATCTTATACTTACAGAGGTTTCTTGCCATTATCACCACCCCTCTGCCTCATTTGATGTTGGGCTTGCAATTTACATTTGATCAATTCAGTTGGACACAATGCAAATGACGTAATAAAAGCAGCAACACTACCGGCACATGCATTTTGAAATACACTAAGGTCATCAACATGTGGAACTTGAAAAATACTTTGAATAATTGTTTGACATCGACCATAACAAAGAAAAAGGATGGAATTCTCAGCTATCTGAGTGACAAGTGCTGGTCCAGTCCCTGCATATAGACCACGAAACCTTTCTTCCTTTAATGTTCGTTTAAAGCATTCAAACGCATTTTTATAAAGATTAGGAAACACTTGCATCTTAACCTTTACTGTATCAAAAGGTTGACCAGCAAAGACACAGGCTGTCCCAGCATTGGCTCCAGCAATAGTATCAACTATCATTGCACGATAATCTAAAACTTTTACTTCAGACATTTCTTCCTGATTGAGTTCTAGTGACGCTGTTTCACGCCCCTCAATACCGCTTTCATTCATCTTATCAGACTTGATGTTAATTCAGTCTTTACACCACCAGAGCACAAATGATGGTGATTCAAACCCCGTTATGTTTCATCATTCTCTTTTCTTATTATGCAAGAAGTCAAGAACAAAACAACACGTTGACATTTGACACTGAGCTATAATATATAAATGAGCATAACTGGAGTACTAGGGTGTGGGATTGACGCGATCCACTAGCGATATTTTTCGCGCGAAGCGACATTTTACTTTTGTTCCCGAGCTCTTAACTGCAACCATCTGAAACAAGTTGCTGAAATACAAAGTAGTAAAGTCGCTTCGCGCGAAAACAACTCAAGATTTTCTACAAATTGTGGATTTAGCTTATTCATTAGTACTGATCCATGAGATAGTTTGAACGAAGACTCCACCATTGTTGGGTATACCAGTGCAGTATGGTAATACAGGTAATATCCCAATGATAGACCATAATCTCGATGAATCAGCCTGAATTCTTCTGTAGCTAAATTTTCATTCCACAACAAGAAAAACGGCATGTTTATGGCCATTTTAAGAGCACATTTAATTGTTATTCCCAATTGATTGCATATAAAATCCAACTTTGATTTAATTTCAAATACATAACTTCGAGGTGTGGGACGGCACTTGTAGAGAAAGTGGACAAACCTACTGCGACCATTCTATTCCTCGCCACAATGAATCAAACCACGCAGGTATTATACACTGAAGCCAGAGTTAGCCAAACTTAACATCAGCGCACGGGGGTTCTTTTCAACATCTCTCCGCTTAATGAAGGCTCGTCAAGACAATTAACCAAGACCGTTATACACACTTTATATACAAACATTGTGGACACTTGATATCTCTTGCTCAGCACACAAGCATCACCGAAACCAGTTCTTTGTTTAAAGGCTGCACCTACTCCTTCGAAAAGGCTGGGACAAATACCCATGCTACAAAAAACTGGATAACAGTCTTGATGATTTTATGATCTTTCACGCTCAGATCCATCTGACACGGGAACTCGTGTTAAGTTTTCAGATCTCTTTTATTAAAGAAGATATAAAGAGCGCAAACATAACCGATTAAAGATCAATCGAACAGATCTACTATCGATGTTTACTGTTGACCCTGTTTCCCTGCTCTTTGAAGTCGGTTCTTGCTCAAATATTCCACAAAACGACAACTTCAATTCCTGACACTAGCTGTTGGAAGATGGAATTGCACTTTGTCCGCGATCTTGAATTGGTACAACTGAGTCAGCACTTTTCCTTTGAAAGGGGAGGCTGGGAGGGGAGGCCAGGCCAGGGAGGGATCCAACCAAAACCAACACCGTCATATCATGGATAGTTAGTAAAAGAAATAAAGAAGAAAGATCGGACTTAAATATTCCCCGAAAATAGAACAGAATCAGCGAAGATAAACAATAAAATCTTGTGAAATAAATACATACAATTTAGGCCCAAAGTGTACCGGCGAATCAAGCGGTTATACAAAACACAAAATTAACAAAACATTTTAGCAAACTAAGCCGTTCACTCATTTATATTGACTTTCCTTTCGAGAACGATGACTATTTTGACGTTAAAAACCAACAAGGATTGTTTCAAAACACTAAAAGAACATAAAAACACTAAAATTTCTCGCTAAAAATACTTAAAAAACGTTTAGGCGTTTAAATCTTGACATTTCCAAGCGTGTGCCTTATTAGTCGTTTTCTGTGCATATACTTGTTAGGGACCGCCCCCGAGACCAGGAAAAGCTTAAATACGTTAAATTTATCTTCGCTCTCAGGGCTAGCCACTGTAGCTGATTCGTCTATGACGCTAGGCTTGTGGCGATGCATACTCTGTTTCTCACTGAGACGTAACGGTTAGGTGCACATACATCATGGTCTGGGGGCCGTAGTGCATCTCCCCCTTAGACGGCCGTTAAGATGTGAGTTATGGGGGGGAGTTCTTCCTATAGCAACCGCCTTGCACCTTTCGTAGTTGTAACTATGCTGAATATTGCAGCCGGTTGTATAACCAGGTTAGATTGTGGCATAGGCTGGATGATCTCTTTTGGGTGTTTTTCCCCCAATTTTTTTTTTGGCACGCTTTCCAAATTTTTGTTTTACATACAAAAAAATACTGTTATTAAACATATTATGGAACGGATATGGTTCGAAAAAAAATTTATATCGACTAAAAATCACCTTAATTAACCCCTGAATACTCTCCCCAGTCTCTGCATGGCTGAGTCTGAATTAAACAATAGTACAATAGCAGAAATCATTCATAAACAGCAAACATCTTCATCAACCTTACAGCAGTAAAACAGCAACAAAGACATTCAGACAGTCAACTCTGCATTCCCGTTAGTGCCTTCAGCCCAAGAACTGTCGATCAAAAGTCTGGATAAATCACCTGGCTTTCTTTGCGATTTTTTAAATTCATATTTCAAAATATCTGACATTGAGAACATATCGAGATTTTCTAATAATTTTGGACTTGGTTTATTCATTAATACTCCATGAGATACTTTGAACAAAGACTTCACCATTGTTGGGTATACCAGTGCAGTATGGTAATAGGTATCCAGAATTATCGAATCACCTGAATTCTTTGTAGCTAAATTTTCATTCCACAACAAGCAACACGGCATGTTCATGGCCATTTTAAGAGCACATTCAATTGTTATATATTCCCAACTTTGATATAATTTCAAATACATAACTTCGAAGTTTGGGACGGCACTTGTAGAGAAAGTGGACAAACAAAACCTACTGCGACCATTCGAATCCTCGCCACAATGAATCGAACCACGCAGGTAACATAAGCTGAACCCAGACACTTATACAAACATTTTGCATGGACACTTGATGTCTTGCTCAGCACACAAAGCATCACCAAAACCAGTTCTTTGTTTAAAGGCTGCACCTACTCCTTCAAAAAGGTTGGGACAAATACCCAAGGCTACAAGAAACTGGATAACAGTTTTGAGGATTTGTTGATCTTTTACGCTCAGATCCATTTATACGGCAACTCGTGTTTATATTAATTTAAGAAGATATATTAAAAGAGCGCTAACATAACCGATTAAAGATCGATCGTACAGATCTACTATCGATGTTTACCGTTGACCCTGTTCCCCTGCTCTCTGAGCTCGGTTCTTGCTCAAGTATTCCACAAAACGACAACTTCAATTCATGACGTGATCTCAAATGCTCCTCCGTTTCTAAAGCTCGCCAAAGAAACATAGATTCAACGCTAACAAATCATCAAAATTGGTTGTGGCTTTAACGGCTAAGTGCATGTCTGTAGCTTTACTTCGATTTAAAAACTTGTGAAATAAAAATTTGTGAAATAAATACATACAATTTAGGCCCAACGTGTACCAGCGAGTCAAGCGGCTATACTACTAAAAACACAAAATTAACAAAACATTTTAGCAAACTAAGCCGTTCAGTCATTTATATTGAGTTTCCTTTCGAGAATGACGATTATTTTGACGTTAAAAACCAACAAGGATTGTTTCAAAACCATAAAGGAATATAAAAACACTAAAATTTCTCGCTAGAAACACTTAAAAAACGTTTAGGCGTTTAAATCTTGACATTTCCAAGCGTGTGCCTTATTAGTCGTTTTCTGTACATATACTTGTTAGGGACCGCCCCCGAGACCAGGAAAAGCTTAAATACGTTAAATTTATCTTCGCTCTCAGGGCTAGCCACTGTAGCTGATTCGTCTATGACGCTAGGCTTGTGGCGATGCATACTCTGTTTCTCACTGAGACGTAACGGTTAGGTGCACATACATCATGGTCTGGGGGCCGTAGTGCATCTCCCCCTTAGACGGCCGTTAAGATGTGAGTTATGGGGGGGAGTTCTTCCTATAGCAACCGCCTTGCACCTTTCGTAGTTGTAACTATGCTGAATATTGCAGCCGGTTGTATAACCAGGTTAGATTGTGGCATAGGCTGGATGATCTCTTTTGGGTGTTTTTCCCCAATTTTTTTTTTGGCACGCTTTCCAAATTTTTGTTTTACATACAAAAAATACTGTTATTAAACATATTATGGAACGGATATGGTTCGAAAAAAATTTATATCGACTAAAAATCACCTTAATTAACCCCTGAATACTCTCCCCAGTCTCTGCATGGCTGAGTCTCTGAATTAAACAATAGTACAATAGCAGAAATCATTCATAAACAGCAAACATCTTCATCAACCTTACAGCAGTAAAACAGCAACAAAGACATTCAGACAGTCAACTCTGCATTCCCGTTAGTGCCTTCAGCCCAAGAACTGTCGATCAAAAGTCTGGATAAATCACCTGGCTTTCTTTGCGATTTTTTAAATTCATATTTCAAAATATCTGACATTGAGAACATATCGAGATTTTCTAATAATTTTGGACTTGGTTTATTCATTAATACTCCATGAGATACTTTGAACAAAGACTTCACCATTGTTGGGTATACCAGTGCAGTATGGTAATCCAGGTTATCGAATCACCCTGAATTCTTTTGTAGCTAAATTTTCATTCCACAACAAGCAACACGGCATGTTCATGGCCATTTTAAGAGCACATTCAATTGTTATATATTCCCAACTTTGATATAATTTCAAATACATAACTTCGAAGTTTGGGACGGCACTTGTAGAGAAAGTGGACAAACAAAACCTACTGCGACCATTCGAATCCTCGCCACAATGAATCGAACCACGCAGGTAACATAAGCTGAACCCAGACACTTATACAAACATTTTGCATGGACACTTGATGTCTTGCTCAGCACACAAAGCATCACCAAAACCAGTTCTTTGTTTAAAGGCTGCACCTACTCCTTCAAAAAGGTTGGGACAAATACCCAAGGCTACAAGAAACTGGATAACAGTTTTGAGGATTTGTTGATCTTTTACGCTCAGATCCATTTATACGGCAACTCGTGTTTATATTAATTTAAGAAGATATATTAAAAGAGCGCTAACATAACCGATTAAAGATCGATCGTACAGATCTACTATCGATGTTTACCGTTGACCCTGTTCCCCTGCTCTCTGAGCTCGGTTCTTGCTCAAGTATTCCACAAAACGACAACTTCAATTCATGACGTGATCTCAAATGCT